AGTAGAAGCTTATATTGAGTTGAGAATTTTTTGAAAACCATTCAAAATGTGTTATTGCAAGAATATGCATTCCTGATTGTGGTTTCACAGTGTGAAAAAATTAAAGCCACTTTTAAAAATGGGAAACATATAATGTGACAGAAAGAACCTGGGCTCCGGCATCAAATAGACTTGAGTTCAAGTCTTGGTGCTGCTACTTTCAACCTATGAGGCCTTGGGCATGCTGTATATCCTCTCTGAGTCTCAATTTCTTTATCTATAAAATATGGAAAATAATATGCACATCAGTGTGTTAATGTAAAGATTAACAGAGAGGATATATTTGAAGTACCAAGCGTAGGCTGTGTCTTACAATATGTACTCAGTAAAAACTGGTAGCTGTTAAACATTTTCTGCTGTTGAACTCTAAGGTAAACTTTATATTTTATATGTTACATATTGTATGAACTAGACTTAAAAAGAATCTGAAGTTTAACATACAAAAGAAAGTACAGGAATATTCTTACTGTATAGTTTATAGCAATAATGTATAGTTTATAGCAATAATGCATGCCTATTCTCTAAAGGCTCTATTAATTGTAAGAAATATCAACCCATTAAAATAAATTCAAGCAAAGGAGACTTACTGTAAAGAGGCAGATAATTGCATTTTGGCTTCCTGGAAACTGGAATGTAAGATACAAAGGCTATCTTTCTTTTGTTTTCCAGGAGTGACATATTCCTGCTCCTCTCTGTAGTGTGGGCTCCATCCTTTCATTCCTGACTGATTTTCCTTGCTTCTTCATGTTGCATGTGGTTCAGATTGGCTGTGAGCCCCTACACTACCTTGCAGTTTCAGTAACACTATCAACCAGATGCTTCCCCTAGAACCCCTTCTTTGAATTCATCAAAACCCAGCTAACAATTTCTGAGAAAATTTTCTAGACTCTTTAAGTGAGTTCACAGTATTAATAGTAACAACACTCCCTGCCCCACTCCTTGGAAAACTCGCCTCTATAATCTCCCATCAACCCATCTTGGGTGTAGTAGTCTTGTGGCGCAGGCACCCTGCGCGCCAACAACCGCTGCTAACATCAATCCTCCAACTGATTTTTTTCATGACTCCCCAGATCAACAACCCTCGATGCCTCCTCATTGCCTATGGGTCAAGAATAAACTCCCTGGCGTTCCAGTGGTTAAGACTCTGCGCTTTCACTGCAGGGGGCGCTGGTTTGATCCCTGGTCGGGGAACTAAGATCCCACGTGCCGCATGGCATGGTCAGAAAAACCCAGAAAAACAAAAAAAGAGGGATAAACTCCTCAAGTTTGACAGCACATTCCCCTGGCACCCTAAAATGAGCTTAGTGTGATGAAACCTCTCTGGCCAAAGGTTTCTGTCTTGCTTTGGCCTCTGCTCCTGAATGCTCCCCTCTGAGGGCCCCATCCACCTCCTAACTCTTATGGAGCCTCTTACCTTCTACGCAGCATTTATCCCAACCACTTAAAGAATTTCTGTACAACTCCTTCAGGCGTAACCCAGTAGTGGACGCATGGTAAAGCTGGAAAAACCTATTCATATGTCTCCCAAGCCCCACAGGCCTCTGGTCAGAGGGAGGGAATGCAGCTCTCAATGACCTTCTCCAGGATGTGCCCCCAGGCTCTGTCTGGATACTTAATGTACTGTAGTTTTCTATGCACAGGATCTGCTTTCTCATTTAGATCATAAATTTCTTTGAGGGTAGGACCATGGTTTCTCCATTTAGCAAGCCTAACACCTGTGACAGTACTTTGCATGTAATAAGCAATTATTCATTTATTAGTTCAATTAAACTAAAAATATTTATGTTGGGTGGGTTCGGTAGGAGAAGATAAAATCATGAGCATTTGTTGTTTACCGTAATTAAGCCTGTTATCAGGAGTGTGCTACCGATAATACTTTTGGGGGTTCCTACTATTCTCCTCTCCTCTGTGTCTTTTTTATCCGATTGCTATAAAGATTTCTCTTTATCTTATTTTAAGAATTTGACTGTAATGTGCTGAAGGTTTGGTTTTCTTTTTCTTTTTCTCATTTATTATGTTTCAGGGCTTTATGGGTTGCTGTTTATTATCAAATTTGGCCATTATTTATTCTGAAATTATTCTGTCTCTTTCCCTTTCTTGCTTTCTAATAATATTCCACAGGTTACTTTTACTTTATTCAATATTTTCCCCAATATTTTGTCTGTCTGCTTCAGTTTGAATAACTTCTACTGGCCCAGTTTCAGATTTACTGAATTTTTTTTTTTTTTTTTTTGCAGTGCCTTGAAGTCCATCCAAAGACTATTTTTTTATTTAATATATTATAATATTCATTCTAGAACCTTCATTTGGCTCTATTTTGCAGTTTTCATTTTTTTCTATATGCAATATTTAGATGTAATACATACACGTTATATTCATAATTACACATACATATAAAATATATATGGCACATATGTATATATGCCATATATGTATATATCCATATACGTGGCATATTTATATGTTTATACCTTGTGTACGTATCTTTTCCTATAAATTATTTCACATATACACAATAGTTTTTTAAATCCTTGTCTGCTAATTCCAAATCCTGAGTCATCTACAGGTCTGCTTCTATTTACTATGTTTTCTCTCTACTATGGGTCATATATTCCTGCTTCTTGTTATGACTCAAGATGTCATTCTGAACATTATGTACAAAATAATTTATAGTATTCTGAAAATCATGTATTTATAGTTTTCTGAAGATTATGTACAGAAACTCAGTAGAGACTGAAGCATGGTATTTGTTTTGTTTTATTTCCCAAAGTGTCTAAGTCATTTGTTCTGGCTGGCTGTGAAAACAAGGGTCTGAGCATTCAGATTCCTTTTGGAGTTGAGTTGAGCTGGAGCGGGACTGTGAATAACCCAACTTCCAACCTCCTGAACAGCCACTGTTTTGGTAGTTCAGTGTTTGAACTAGGAAGGCACTGACTGATGTTTCAGATATTTTTGATTCATGTTTTTATTTATTATTGGCAAGGCCCTTGTACCTGTAACTTTGGTAAATCCACCCATTAGTTCTCGTAGGGTTTTTCTTAATGGATTTCTCAGAATATTTTACATAAACAATTATGTTACCTGTGAATTAACAGGTTTTTTTTTATACAGCAGGTCCTTATTAGTTAACTATTTTATTGAATTCACAATTTTTCTTTCTAAGCTTTACCCCTTTTACTTATTCATTTTTGTTTTCTCCCACTGACTAAGAGTGCCAATAAAATGTTGTAATGAAGTGGGAAAAAGAGATACTCTTGCCTTAGTTCTGATCTTTCTTTAATGAGAAATCATTCAATATTTCATGAAATAAGATGTAGATTTTTCAAGAATGGTCTTTATCATATGGGAGGCAAATGCTTCTTTTCCTAGTTTTCTGAGAGTTGTATCATGAATGGATAATGAATATTGTCAAATGCACTTTACACCCGTTGAAAGTATATTCTGTTAATATATTGAATTACATTTATTGATTTTTACGTGTTAACTCAACTTGAATTCTTGGAATAAAACACACCTGGTCATCATATATTACCCTTTTCATTGCTGGATTTTATTTGATAATAGTTTTTGAAATATTGTTTCATCTATGTTCATGAGAAATATAAATCCATAATTTTTTTTTTCTTGGAATTGCCTTTGGCAGACTTCGGATCAGGGTAATTCTGGTCTCTTACAGTGGAGTGAAAAGTGTTACCTGCTATTTTTTTCTAAAAGAATTTATAAAAGATGGCTGTTATTTTTCCTTAAATGTTTGCTAGCATTCACTAATGTGACCATATGGCCATGGAGTTTTTTAAATGTTTAATTATGAACTCAATTTCTTTAATTGGTATAGGACAGTTTTTAAAAGTTGTTATAAGTTTTTATAGTTTGTGTCTTTCAAGAAAGTCTGATTTTATCTAAATTATTGAATTATTTGGCATAATATTGTTCATAATATTCTCTTATCATCCTTTTTAATATCTTCAGTATCTCTAATGATCATCTTCTGGATTTGTAAATTGTCTCTGTTGTTCATAGATTTTCTATTTCAGTGATTTCTGCTTTTTATTGTTTCCTGTCTTTTACTTACTTTGGGTTCAGTTGCCTTTCTGTCACTGGTTTCTTAAGGTAGAAACTTAGATCACAGATTCTAAACCCTTCTTTTCTTATGTAACCGTTTAAAGATATAAATTTCTCACTAACCACTGCTTTATTTGCATATGACCAATTTTGATTTGATTTTTCCTAAGATTTTATTTTTCAGGGTAGTTTAACACTTACAGCAAAGTTGAACAGTAGGTACAGAGATTTTCCATCTACCCCCTGCCCTGCACATGCATAACCTCCCCTATTATCAGCATCCCTCACCGGAATGCTGCATTTGTTACCAAGGATGAACCTACACTGAAAGTACATAGTTTACCTTAGTGTTAATTCTTGGTGCTGTACATTCTGTGAGTTTGCATGATGTATAATGACATACATCTTTCACTACAATATCATAGAGTATTTTCACTGTCCTAAAACTTCTCTGTGCTCTGCCTATTCATCTCCACCCCAATCCCACCCCTGGCAACTATTCTTTGTGCTGTTGTTGTCACATATACTTTTATCCTATATCATAAATTACACAGTTCACTGTCTTTCATGAATTAAGAGAAAAATAAGATAATCTTTTGTATTTACCTACAAATTTACCTTTCTGTCACTCTTCATTCCTTCCTGTAGATCTGAGTTTTTGTATGGTTATTACAAATAACAAACAAATGAGGAAGCTTAACTATCATGGAAGCTTTACTTATTTATTAATTTTTAATGGACCCGTCACGTTCACCTGATTAACCAAAAAGTCTTAGCTGTGGGTTTCAATTCCTATTATTGTGAGATCACCTGCATGCTCAGTAGAGTGATATACAGAGTTTATTAAGAAAGCATTGCTGAAATTTCAACTTTTTCTCTGTTGCTTCCTACTCCAACAGGTCTATGGAAATGCAGGACCTAGCGAGTCCTCATCCTCTTGTTGGAGGTGGCGATACTCCTGGTAGCTCCAAACTGGAGAAAGCTAATCTCAGCAGCACATCGGTCACCACAAATGGAACAGGAGGTAAGTGTACAACCCTGAAGACACCCAGCATCACGTTTCAAACTTTGTTGTGGCTTTACATGTTAGGGATCTGCTAGTAAATAAATATTATATCTCATAAGCAATAACATCACAGCATTATACTCAAGTAATATATAGTTAATGGATTATTTATTGTTCTGTTGATTTTCTTGAAATTTTTGCTCCTCCTCTATAGCTGGAAGCATTCAGAAAGAATAGATAGCCCCGAGCAACATTTTGAAGGCCTTTAGCAAGGCTTCCTTTTTGTATTTGCCCTTGTACATATTTTTCAAAATGTAAAAAATGTGGCCCAAGGATTTACTCTCTGATCTTACTTAACAACAACAAAAATAGAAAACGGAAAAGAAATTCTATTAGTTTTTGGTTTTATTTTGAATTTTAAGAGAAAGGCTACTCCAAAATTTTTCTTAAAAATGGTTTTGGGAATGGAAAAATGTCCATATCTGCTGCATTTTCTTTTCAAAGAGAGAAATACCTAACATCTATTTAAAATAGGAATTGAATTTTTTTCTAGATACCTTTTCATATGATTAACTCATAATTATGCCACAACATATGGCAACAATAATAACTATTTCAAATATTTCACCCTATTGTTTTTATAAAATGCATTCAACCTGTCAGAAAATACGATCTGATTTTTGCATCAGAATATGTATACGTAGAAAGCCTATACATATATATATACATATATACACATATATAAGCTGCATTTTAAATTACTCACAATTATTTTGAAGTTTTGTAGATTTAGTTGTTTTTGTCGAGTGAAAAATTACTTGAAAATTACTTTAATTTGTAAGCTATTCATATTATTAGATATCAGTATTTGCCACATCATATTTTCTTTTAAATTTTCAGTAAATATTTATTAAATCGATACACCTCTTTCCACTTATTTTAGAGTAACTGTGAAATCTAAAATTTTCTTTGTAAAGTTGTGTGGATTGCAACTTGCCTGTATTTAATAATGTTTTACATAAAACCCTTTGTAAATTAACATTTTCCTTGTTTATAGTGTTTGTCTCTAAACATGCGTCTATAATTTTGCCTAATTAATTATAGGATTGCAAATTTATAAGACTGTTTAGTGATAACTTGTGGAGTAAGAACATTTATATTTAAACCTTAACTTGGGTGCAAATAATAAGATTAAAAAAAAAATGCACTCTGAAATCAGACTTTGAAGGTCACTAATCACCATGTATGTATATTTAACTGAACTAAAACATACCTGATAAACTAAAATGTAAAAGTGATACCATGCAGTTATAATTTTGGCAAAAGGGTCAGAAACCAGTACAAGCACTGAAGACTATTCTCGTACACTGAGCAGGCATTCAGACAATGAACCCTTATGCTGTTCCTGTTCTCAGGGGACAACATGACTGTTTTAAACACTGCAGACTGGTTGCTGAGTTGCAACACCCCCTCCTCCGCAACAAGTATGAGAGATGATGGTACACTGCATGTGTTTGGGTGTGTGGATTTGCCCTTCTGGTTTGCTTTCTGTTGCTATTTCTGTTTGCACTCTCTTTTCTGTGTTCAGTACTTGTTATAAAAAAAAAAAAAAAGGAGACATGAACACACCTTTTAGTTGTTTATTGATAACAGTTGGCTATGTTTTTCTTATCAACTAGTATTCTAATCTTAGGTCAGTAGTATTCTTTTCTTAGCTTTTTCATAATTTTGCACAAATGGGTGCATCTACTATTTTTCTATCAGTTTATTAAGTGATAATTCAACACAACTGTCACGTCAATGAGCAGTTGAAGCAGATTGCGCCTATGTACAAACTCAATCTCCATAGCCTATAGGCTTTCATAAATTAAATTAAATTCATAACATGGCAAAATGATATTTCCTATTTTACAGACTTAAATAAATATTCCAATTAAAATACCTAAAGTAGTATTAACATTTAAAAATCCATCATTTAAAAAATTACCAGTGATGAAAGCTATACATTTAAAATTATAAATTAATATTAAATCTCTTAAAATGTTTTGAACTATATATATTAACTACATTCCTATATTTATATATATATAATATAAATAAACTTTTTCCCAAACCAAAAGTTAATATGCTATCAAAATTTAAAAATTAAAACAAAACCACATAAAACTTCTGTAGAACCACCCAATTCTAGCATTAAAAAGAAGAGCTCATGACCTGTTAGAAATGTGCATTACAAGCAAGCAGTTAGAATAGGCACAGTTTGCCTGGACCTTGCTGTATGTAGATTAAATTAGAATATATGACCAGTGGATGAAAAGTACTCCATTATGCCCGTTATTTAAATTTTTTTCGTTTTAGTTTCTTTTTTTTTAACTCCACACTTAAAATATACTTTTCATACTTAAAAAATATGTTGCCAGAATTTAGTTCCTCTTAATTCTCACTCAAGGTTCTTTTTTTGCAAAGAACCAGACAGGAAATGTTTTAGGCTTTGTAGGCTATGCTGTCTCTCTCTGTCTCATCTATGCAGCTCTGTCACTGTAGCTCAGATGCAGCCATAGGCAATACGTAAATGAATGAGAGTGGTCAGGTTCCAATAAAACTTGATTTATGGACCCTGAAATTTAAATTTCATATAATTATCACATGTCACAAAATATTCTAATTTTGATTTTTTTTTTAAACATTTAAGATGTAAAAAACATTCTTAGCTCACTGGCTGTTGTTCTATTCTGACATATTAATGTAGCATAGGCAACTTTACAATAGTGAATATATACAATCAATATTTAGTAATTTACGTCTAATATCCAACAGAAAAATTTTTTTAAGTGTAAAACATCAAGTTTTCCTTGTTCTTAGTATAAATGTTTAAGAGTTGTGTGACCATGTGGGAAAAAAAAGGACTTCTGTGTCAGGAAGACCATGGATCTGAAACCTGGCACTACATTTACTAGCTGTGTCATCTTGGACAAGTTACTTAACCTCTCTGAGCTTTCATTCTTTTCTACAAAAGAAGGATAATAATACTTTACTGGCAAAGCTTTTGTTTTAAATCATATAATGTATGTAAATTTGGGGCAATATAAACCAATATATTTTCCTTAATTAATAATTCAATAATAATTAGGCAACAGCTTTTTAAGGAAAATGGAAACATGCAGTCAGTGTGTTAAAAGACTCTCCAGTGTTTGGTCAGATAATAAATTTTTCTGCATTTAGAACATGTAAACTGGCCACAGTTTATTATTATTATAATAAAACAAAAGGCAAAAGCAAAAGCTAATTTAGTGGCTTTTCAAGATCTTTCCATTAACTTAGATTTTCAAAAAGATAATTTTGATAGTTTTTACTGATACGAATGAGTCAACAGTATCACCTTAATATCCTACCCTACTGCCTTGGTGCTGTTTAAATATATTACATTACTCCTGAAAGTAATTTTAAAGGGGTTCATCACCTTAATCCTAATTCTGTAATTACATCTGCAGATTTATATTAGAACCTAGATTTTCCTTTCAAATTTTTGTCACTTGTGAAATTGTTAAAATGAAGAACTGTCAATAAAAATATAATAAATATAATCATATCTTAGCATACAGATCAGTGGTCAACAAACTTTTTTTGTAAAAGGTCAGATAGTAAATATTTTCAGCTTTGCAGGCCATATGGTCTCTGTTGTAACTATTCAGCTGTGCTTTCATTGCACAAATGGAGCCATAGACAATATTTAAACAAATGAGCTTGACCATATTCAAATAAAACTTAATCTATGAACACTGAAATTCAAATTTCGTAAAATTTTTATGTCACAAAATTTTATTCTTCTTTGATATTTTTCAACTATTTAAAAATGTAAGAGTCATTCTTAGCTCACGGGCTATACAAAAACAGGCCATGGGGTAGACTTGGCACTTGAGATGTAGTTTGCCAACCCAGATATAGATTCATGTATGCTACTTCATGTATATGTATATACATGCATGTAAATGCATGCCAATCATGTGAAAAGTTACTTCCATATATAAGTAAGATTTTAATTTCCCTAATGGTGTCAAGATACATGATTAACTATACTTTATATACAAAATACTTAGATTTATTGGAAGTGCTTAGGATAGGGTCTAAATGTGAATTTTCACTTTCTAACTTAAAATGTATCAGGTTCCTATTATATGCCAGGTTCTGTGCTAGGAAATGGGAACCCAATGACCTATAGAACATGATACTAGCCATCAAGGGACCAAAAGTCTAGCAGAGGAAAACAGAAAAGAAAATAATGAGTGAATAATGTGTTCAAGGTGGGTGCACAGCAGAGGGAGGGAATATTTGATTCTACATGGAGATTAAGAAAATACTTCAAAGAGAAGATTTGGGGGAACCAAGATCAGACATTCTGATTTGGGGGAACCAAGATCAGACATTCTGATTGGGTTTATGGTGTTTTCTATATTTGAAATCTGTAGAGCATAGAAAAGAATCTCCCAGAGTTTTTAATATATAGATGATTGATTCACATGGGATGAATTTGTTTCTGAGTATTATGTGTCTGTGCAGTAGAACCAGCTACTACTGTGGCTCTACTCTTTTTAGATTTTCTTTCTGGAATGAAAGCCGTAAATTGGAAGCATCATCAAATTATTTTACAAAACTAAATACTTCATGGATATTTAGAAATGAAAGACACTTGGTGCTCATAGGTTTTTGAGTGAAAAAATTGATTTAGAAAAACATAAATCTTAAAACTAGTAGGCAATACCTCTTTCCTCCCCTGCAGTGTTGTAAATTGTATCCTTCCTGATCTAACTCCTCCTGAAATTCTTTGTAGAACCTAAGTTGTCAGAGGTGGCTATGTGAGATTTTGTGGTTCAGGAAGGAGTATATTTGGAATTACATATATAGTCTTTTAAGTGGACACCAGTCTAAACACAAATCTCTGAAGATGAAATGTAAAATGTAAAGTACTTGGGTTACCTCTCTTTCAAGGGTTAATTAAGCCTAATATTGCAAAAAATGAACATGAGCATTAAGTTATGATAATAACATAGACTTCCTCTAAAAATAATTAATATATATTAATGTTGTACTTGAGTTCTAAAGATAATCTGAGGGCACTAGATTAAATTTGCTTTGAAAATACTTGTATGAGGGTATGCAAGAAGGTTGGGATGTAAAGAGAGAAAATCAGTGATTTAGTAGCCATAGCTGACAGTAATCTCATGCAATCTTGATTTAGTCCACAGAGATCAATTATTTTTGAAGGTTAAAAATAAAACCCAATCATGTCAATATAATAAAATGACTTTGACTTTTTTTTACTATTTGGCTTTATGAAAAACATCTAAGTTGCAAGTGGATAACTAGTGTGGAGGGGGCCTGGCAATATAATTATTTCTTGAAGTAATGGTTCTGTACAAAGTGTTATATGTATGTAGATTTTCCATCCCACCTTTTGGGAAATGAACCTTGAATCACTTATTTCGAGCATGTAGAAGAATAAAACCACAAAATTCTCTAACCTAAGAATCAAAAAATGATTGCGGCTTTTGAAATCAAAATGTTTATGTTGTAAGTTTGAATTTTGCTCATAAAGATGATGCTTTTCTTCTATAGAAGGTTATTCTTTCCGTTTGATAGCATGGACTGTAATGATATTGGACACAGTCCTTAAAATAAATTAAAAGCCCTGTTTAACTTCTGTGTTAACTTAAGAAAAATAGAATACAGTAAAAAAAAAAATACATTTGAACATGACAGTGAATGTACATTCATAAACTTTTGGAATGAGTATTTTTATAAGTTTTAGAAAACAGATGCATAAAACTAGATTTGTTTCATTGATGAACATCTTTCCAATAGTGTCTTGCACATATTAAATGTGTGGAAACAAAAGCAAGACAAAAGAAAATGGAATACATTTCAAATATATTCAGACCTGTAGTGAAAACGACTTCCATTTTTCAAACTTTATAATTATCATAATGTTTACTTTATAGTCATTACTTGTTTTCTAAATATTAAGACACTTCTTTGTATTTTAACATCTTTTTAATAAATCAGCTAATCATATAAAGAATGCCCATTTCACTTCTCTAAGTTTTCTGTTCCTGAAAAAAACTTATTATTACTTAATATTACTTTCTTTCTCTATAAAAATCAAATCAAAATAACTTTGCATCTTACTCAAGAGATGTTTGCTGATGCTGCCCTCCTGTGAACAAAAATTATTTTCTGTAGCAGCATGATTAATTTTCCCCCTTTTCCCTATTATTCAACTCTTACCCACATATGAAAAATAAGTTTGGATTAATGTGTAATGTTTTCCCCCAAATGTTAGCATCCATTTAACTATTACTTTTAAATCCATGTGTTTTAGTCCACTGAACACATCTTGATGTGTATGCTTCTCTTTATATACTTTCTAGTGATGCCTCTTCTCAGCTAAATGAGCCTCCTTTGTCTTTGACTAAAAGCAGACCTTTAAAATTTTAATGAGAGATGATTCCAGGATAATGAATGCAACCACAAACTCTCTCTCTGGCTTTTCTTCGTTCTCCTTTCAAACTCTCTGGCTTTTCTTCCTTCTCCTTTTGACCACCTGAAACTTTCAAATTGAGGAGATTATAATCAACACCAATACTAAGTTTTTGAAATCAAACCTCAAAGTTGGGATCCAAAGTAACAAAACTAAACCTCATGTCTAGCTTGGTTAGTTTTTTAGATATTCTGCTTCCCCTCTCCCCACTTCACAAGTGAAATATATTTAACCATTAGTATTAATACATCTATTTTAAAAATATTGTTATAGATTTAGACATGTTTAAATAGGAATTTAGCCATGATTAGAATTTGGAAGTCTCTTATCTTAGTTTTGCTGGAGGCTTTGGACGATTCCTTTTTGTCATATGTCAGAAGTCAGATGGGGACATTGCATCATAGAGAGTAGCTTTTACACCTTTCTAAACCCTACTCTGGATCATCTCTATACAGATGAAAGGAATTCTTGGTTAGTTAGTGCTGCCTGTGAGGCAGTGTGGTTTAGAGTTTGGATTCTTTCCAACCTTTACAGTTCGACTCTGAATCTTCCAGCAAATCTTCATGACATAGTTAAATCCCGGATGCTAAATTAACCCCAGAGCTCACTGAGGGAGGGTCCAGCCAATTCTCTTCATGTGGAAAGGGAACATAATCATTACTGCATGTTTCTCCATCATTAATTGCTTTTCTAACAGAGTAACGTCGCTGACTTGCTTGCTTGGTGGGTACGCTCTGAGCCCACTATTCTTTTGGCCATATTTGTCCGTGGTTGGCTAGTCTTCAGCTTTCTTCTTTATAGTTTTCTGCTTGCTTCTGAGGTTTTGAACTGTGTCATTCCATTTATGACCAGGAAACATAAGAGGTGTTAAGCAGAAAATAATTTAGTTTATTCCCTTGCTGCTGTGATACATGGAGCTCTGGCCACAAAGGGAAAATATGGTGTGACAAAATGGGTAGAGGCTTGCCCCTGCCAAACTCGTTGCATCTAATAATGACAGTGATGTATACCTCAGTGGCTACATCATTGCCAAGTGAGGATTTTGCCAAAATATACCACCTCAAAGGAGAAATAATATATGAAAGAGTTTTCAAAAGATACAATTAGTGTTGTAGAAACCATCTCTTATTCTATGCTTATGTCTATAATGTATTAAAAATTGTTATACCATTAGAATAAAAAGCCCAATACCTTATGGCTCTTTTGGCTTTTGTAGAGCAGAAATTTACTGAGTGCTTCATTTTTCAACCACCATATGAATACACCCCTGGTTTCTGTATTTGCATATGCCTCGTTGTATTCTTAAGCAATCTTTTTTTTTTTAATGTCATCTTGGGAAGAATAAAATATAAGCAGTAAATCTCTTTGTTACGATTTGGATTAAATGTGCTAAAGACTGACTGACGATTCCTTTCTTCTGCCTTTTGACTGTAATACCAGAGTGTGCTTAGGTGATTTAAAAATGCAAATACACGTACTGCTGTTTCACTGTGTAAGGTTGACTGCCTTTATAAGCCAGATTCGAGAAAACCAGCTTAGGCAGAAGATTTTTAGATTAAATCCTCTATAAATGCATGTCCATTTAGAAGCTAAATTAACAAAACTCTCCTCATCGACTTCCCAAGTTTTCTCTTGCATGCCATGGTAGCTAGAAAAGCCACTAGTCGTACAGTCAGCATCTTTGATATAAAGTTAGAAATAAAACTCACATGTACTTATTCTTCTACGTAGTGTCTCTCCTTGCAGTCAAAACAGAGCCTTTGAACAGCAGTGAAACCACAACCACGACTGGAGATGGAGCGCTTGACACTTTTACTGGGTCAGGTAAAGCCTTAAGCTCGTGTGTTGTTCTGTACGCATTGGGGTCCACCTCATCCTCCTGGTGAATAAGCGAGAATTGGATTTTTATAAATTCAGCAATAAATTCACTTTTTGGAAAACTCATTGTCATAAAATTATGCTTTTTTTAGAAATGATGTTTAGAATAGTTTTGCTGAATCTGCAGTTGACAGCAAAGCAATCCCCTGACTTTCTTATTAGAAATAAGCAGAACTGACTTCTTTCATAATTATTTTATACAGTGCTTAATTTAATTATTAGGTTGTAATTGTTAACTTTGTTCCTTCAACTTACCCATTTAAATGACATAAAAACTGCCTTCTCTCCAACATTCGAGATGTAAAACTATCCATTTGATTCTTTCTAAATAACCTTGTTTCCTCTCTGGGTTTTAAAAAAAAAAACCTTCCTGTGTAAGCAGCTGAGTGACAGGTATTAAAGGTTAATGGGCTGCAGGAGAGCACATGCTGGTCGCATTAGAACCCAGCCTCTGAGAGCACGACTTTTGCTCAAATGCTTCAAAGAGAACAATAGTGTGTCTTTAAACATCAATCCTCTTTAAATATAAATACCTGATAACTCCCAGGTGGGCAAAAGGACAGGCAATAAGTTGACTTAAAGATTTTTTTTCGTTACTATATTTCGTTTGGTTGATTATCTGGTGAAAGGACGTTTTTTTTTTTTTAACCTGAGGAGGAATTTGTATAGCAGAAAGATGAACATTAAACCTAGAAAAGTATTTGTGATAATTAAATCTTGGTTCTGTTATTCTACTCTAATATATACTTATTCATGTTCTCATATACAAGGATTTTGTGTGGGTATGCTTCTCATGTAAAAAGAGCTGAGGTAAATCCTTGACTATAATGTCATTATAGCATATATTTGATTTTTATAGATACAGATGATCCCGTTTCATTGGTTCACACTGATTGGAAACAGCTGCCATGTATTCACTTAAATATTAGTACTCCAAACAGAAAGATATAATAATTTATACACTTTGTATAGAGAAGCATGTGTCCTAATTCACATCCTTTCTAGCAATTCTCTTGCCTCTTAGCAGATAAATAGGCACCAACTTACCCTAGCATTTATATTACTTACCATAACTGTTGTAAACTTTCTGCAAAGTAAATGCATATATGAACACAGTTTTTAAGGATAGGAATGAAATTAAGTGATTGCTGATATACTTAAATAGTACACTACAAGTCACTGAAAGATGAATGAAAAAATTATGGGATGTTAGCTCCAGAAGGAATTTCAGAGATCTGTGATGATCCGTTTTATAGGCAAGAATATGGAGGCCCAGAGAAGTTAAAGGTGGTTAAGGCCATACAGTCAAGGCCTCACAGGTGGTCACTGGTAAAAATGATTCTAGAATAATGTCCTGGTCAGTCCAACAATCTTTTCTTTAATACCCCACTGGAAAATATAAAGATGGAAAAAGAAACAGGTGTGAACTGTCAAGCTGTCTGGAATTTACTCATATTATATTTACAAATAGTTTCCCAGTTTTCTTTTAAGAATTATCTAGGGCTATGCTGTCCAGAAAAGTAGCCACTGGCCATATGTGGCTATTTAAGTCTAAATTAAATACTATTTGGTAAAACAAAAATTTTTTATCTAGTCACATTAATTACATTTTAAGTGTTTAATAGTTGTATGTGGGTTTTTTTAGTGGCTACCATAATGGACAACTCAGATATAGAACATTTCCAACGCCATGGACCAAGTTCAATTAGACAGAGTGCTTTAGGTCAGGGATTCTCAACAGCACCACTATTAAAAACTTGGCTAATTTTTTTAGTGTGGGAGAGCTGTCCTCTGCACTGTAAGGTGTTTAGCAGCATTCCTGGCATCTATCCCAAGTTAACAGTAGCTTTCCTAAGTTGTGACAACCAAAGATGTCTTCTAGCATTTTAAATGTTCCCTGGCAGGCAAAATTTCCACCCATCCCCCAACTTCATCTCCCACCTCTCATCCCATTGAGAGTCACTAATCTAAGGTGTTACAGTATTACCGGTAAAACCTTAAAACTGCTTGACACCACCCTATGAGAATCTGATAATATTCATTAAAATGTGTTTTAATTAATTTTCAGGACATTTTGAAGACAAGCACTTTTGCTAACTTTTGTATGCAGAAATGATGGAGTATAATGAGTTGAGTGCTTTGCATACATCTCTTGATTAATTAAATGACAATGGGGAATAAAAGGAAGGTCTCCTAAATTTGTACATGGGATTCCAGAAATCATACTGGAAAGATTAGGCTGCTCTGTGTAGGAACAGTCTTTACTTTGATCAGCATAATCTCAGCTCACTTTAATCCGATTTTGTTGTTGTTTTCAATTGTCTGCAGACTTATTAGTTAGAATAAAATATATACAGCTTCGTTAAGAAGCATAAACTTTCTAAGTTTTATGTAAACATAGTTTTCTGAGTCAAAGGTTTTGTTTTCTACCTAGAAAATGAACATATAGACATTAATATGAAATTTTAAAGGTTGAGCCTTTATACTGTTATGGGTACATTATTCTAATGGTATCTAGGTTCATTCATTAGAGGGAAGAAGCATCCTATATATTCGGATTTGTGTTCATATATGTGAAGCTTTTTTTCTGAAATAATTTTGTTCTTTGGCTAATTCAATAAAAGCTGCATGTTTCTTTTTATTATTTGATGTTTCTTTAGAAAAGCCTCGAGTTTCACAGTCTTGAGAGTAACTGATCAGTATAGTCTGAGTCTTGAGTGTACCACAACGAAGTTTTATAAATGAAGCAAAAAATGTGGAACTGAGCCTTACTTAAGTATATTTCTGCTAAATAGAGTATAATTATTGTGAATCAATGAATCAGACTGAATTTCCTGTGCAGTACACTGTTGCTATTATGTAGCCCATAGTGTGAGAGAAAAGGCCTGTTCTCATTGAATTGATTTGAAAGTTTTAAACATTCTTTATGTTTTTAATAAATAAGTAGAAAATTAGTGGTTCAGTGGTCCATGTGTTTTCAAATATACATAGCAAATTCACTTAAATTTGATTGCTGAAAATATTTAGAACATAACACCTCTAACCATATTCAGTGATTGTCAAAATTGATTCATAATATTCTTGAAAATGTACTCTCTGCATTATTGCTATGAAAACTGTAATATACTCTCCGTACTCAGAGCTTACAGTCTAAATAGCATTTTAAATACATTAAATTCTATGTGTTTATGAAGCAATAGATCACAAGGGTACTTAATAGCATTTGGATATAGAAATATATCATGTTTCATAAAATAGTTAGCAACCTAAGCCTATTTGTCACTTTTACAATTCTAAAAGTTTAGCTCCAGAATTATTATGAACAACTTAGAAAAGACATAGTACTTTGAAGTATAACTATGATTGATTAGACTAAACTAATTCCAGCACTGCATTGTATACTACTTTAATCTTTTTGAAAAGTGAATGAACAGCAGATGGCCTAATAAAGACACTCTGTGTGCTTGCCCAGTATGGATTGGCTCTGAAGGGACTGCCTTAACACTTTAGGGTCCATATATTTGCAGTACATCTGTCTTAGTCAAGGCAGATGGTTAAAGGAAAGAGAAACTTCCAAACTTTTGGATGCATTCCAGTTTGGGACTGCATGTTTGGCTGAAATGTTAATAGGACATGATTTTCACCTTTAAGTTCTTCTCAAAAAAGTACAATCTCTGATAGTTCAAAATATATTTATAAATATGATTGCTGCTGCTTCTTGCAGTTAGGTGTTTTTTTTTTTAATGTTGCATTATCACCCATGCTTTCTGTGTATATTCCAATTATTATTAGAATTATTTGGACCCTGCATTTTTAACTACTCATTGGATTGGCAAAATGAAAGGAAAGAGAAAACGATATCATTTTACAACTTGAAAATGAAGGTTGAAGCATCATATTTTTCTTAATTTTTATTATATTTCTAATAGAATAAATACACAGGAAGAGCAATATATTTGGAATTTAAACATAAAGTCTGCAAATTAAAAAATTTACCTTTAATCATGAAAGCTTAATTACCTATAGTCAAGGATATCTATCCATAGCATATTAATACGTAAGAGCATGCTACGGATTTAAGAAAATGGAGGAATGATGAAGGGGAATGATTTGTGAAAAAAGTTTGTGTCATGCTCCTAGCACATACGTGAAACAGTTTAATTAGAAGAAAATGTTCAGGCATCTGTTTCTGTCGAGAAAATGAGTGAATTTTCTGTTTAGAAAATGAATGAATTTTTTGAAACATATCTCTAACATAGTCATTTCTTGAAATAAGTTTTGCACACTCCAGTGAAATATATTTATAAAGCAACCTTTTTTTGCACTGGTTTTTGTGTCTTACAGTAATAACAAGTAGTGGCTATAGCCCCAGATCAGCGCATCAATATTCCCCACAGCTGTATCCTTCCAAGTAAGTGGTCAGTAGTCTTTCAGATTTGTTAGAATGATTTTCCAGCATTATCTTGATTAATCATGTTTATACAATATAACAACTTTAAATCAGGATATATTTATGTATATAAATGTTATAGATAGGCAGTTGAATTGATAGATACTTGGATAGATTCATTGGATAGATTAGACATTAGGTAAATACCCTTCACAAGTCTAGGAATACCCTCACTTATATCTAGACAATTGCTTTAATTCTGGATATTTATATACTTTGAGGAAAGCATCAAGCTCAAACCGGAATACACAGATTTTTTAATGAAAATTCAAAAATGCTGACTAGTTTAAAGAAAATCTAAAAAGATTACATTTTATTCAAACATCAACACTTCATAATTTGTTCCATCATTACAATATTTTTATTGGATTTCAAGTTCTAATAAACATTTTTGAAAAATATACACTATTGCTTTTATGACTAATATAGTCAACTTTCTGAGCACAGTGGTAGAAATTTCAAGTTTAACTACATTGGATGTATCTGAATTTGGTTACCATCAGCCAGATGTGTCAAGATTTTGGGTTCCTCCTGATCATGTACATTTAAAAGTTATTTTCCACAGCAGCTAGAGTGTTTATCCTTAAGTATAGGCTAGAGATTGGATATCCATTTTGGGAACATTCCATAAGATGTGGCATGATGAAGGGAATGGCATTCCATTTCTTTTCGGGAAGCTGCCTACTTTTTAATTTTTTTTTAAATTTTATTTATTTTTTAAGATTTTTAGTTCTCTGTAGAGAATTTTTGGTAGGGCCTTTAATGACTTTTGTAGTCATTACATAGCATTGGGTCATGCATGGTAACAGGAAATATGCTCATGAGTGTACTAATTAACTGGCCTGGGCTTTACTTTCCTCATCTACATATCAGTTGGAATACTATTTCGAATGTAAGCAATATAGACCTGGAAGAGACTTTAGGTGTGATATCTAAACCAAAGTTTTCTTTTCACAGGTGAGGTGTAGACTTAGCAAGTTTAAATTATTTGTCCAAGGTAACTAGACTGGTTTGTAGCAGAGCCTGGGCTCCTGACATTCAGACTCTTGTCCTTTTCCATATTGTTAAAATGATATTATGGATAAAGAGGATTACTTCCGGGCTATTATCAGGTTTCACTGAATCTAAGCTGTCTGAATTAATATGCAGTCTTTGTTGCCACAGTAATGCTATTTTTCTGATATTTAGGCCCTATCCACACATTCTTTCTACACCAGCAGCTCAAACAATGTCTGCCTATGCAGGCCAGACTCAGTATTCGGGGATGCAGCAGCCAGCCGTCTACACAGCGTACTCACAGACAGGACAGCCCTATAGCCTGCCCACTTACGGTATTTCACATCTTCTCTCTTCTTCTTTGGTTATAAGCACGTAATCCTGCTGGCTAGTAGTTGTATAGTCTAATATATTGATATGTTACAACTCAGAAGTAAGATCACTTTACTAATGAAATGGGTTGCACATGCGTTTTCCAAACAGATCTGGGCGTGATGTTACCAGGCATCAAGACAGAGGGCGGACTCTCACAAACTCAGTCACCGTTACAGAGTGGGTGCCTCAGTTACAGCCCAGGGTTTTCTACCCCGCAGCCAGGCCAGACACCTTATTCTTACCAGATGCCAGGTAAGTACCACACAGGAAACATGTTATGTGAGAAAGAATTCTTTGAATGAGACTCCTTGGCTTCAGACTAGGAATATAAAGTCATGAGGACAGTTTTAAATCTTACCACTGCTCACACGACGTCATCAGAAAAGACAAGTAACTAGGAAGAAACATGATGAAAAGAGTTCAGTATACATCAAGAAACATGACCCATATCAAAGTTAAATATTTAAGTTTAAGTTGCATGAAATTGGCAGGAAACTAAGTCCAAGCAAAGCAACCTCCAGGCCAGTCGCCACACCAGTCACATGTTTGGCATCTATTGAAGTGATTTCAAAGATTCATGACAAAACCCAGTATTTTCTTGTCAGGATTCCTTACATACGTAATGCTTTTTTGATTAAATTTAAAATTGAATTAGCACTTCTCTAAGTCCCATTTATTGTTGAACAATTGAAGATTTTTTTTGTTCATTTCTAAAATCTCTCCCCTGTTAATACTATATTTCTTGAAGAGGAATAATTAGATAATTTGTACCTCCACCTTAAAAATTTTTTCTCCATGTACAATCATTATTTAATTTTTCTTTTTGTTTTTGTCTCCAATTAAAAATTATTTTTGAACATTGTGTAGTAGTTGCAGAAAATATTTTAGTGACATACTAAAAACATTAAAAGGTTATTTCCTATCTGTCATTTTCTTCTATATGGTTAGTCATAGTTTGGGGGCTATATTAACATTATTTGAACTAACTGATATTGCCATTTTAGTTGACTGACTAAAGTGAAATAATTACTTAGACCTTTTTGGCTGAAACGACAGGTCTCTTTTTTCCTTATAACGTTGGTAGATACATCTATGCATACATGCCTCAACCACAATAAGCCACTGTGGGAAATGCCATAGAGACGTATCCATTTATTCCCCAGAATACTTTCATATCGGATATTCCAGGCCATGTCAGTTTGTGTCGATTACCTAATACGATTGCTATTCAAGACACATTGATAAAACTAGTAATCAGCTGTCTCAGTAGTCTTTTATTTTATTCCTTAACAAGTACATTCCATGAGAACATTTTTTTTTTTTGGAACCTGTAAATTGATAGTTCACTTGTTTTTGCTCTAATTTTAAAAATAATTAAATAACTTTCAGACCTTGTCGTAAAATTTTAGAAGGTCGTCAAACCTTAGATGATTGCAGTATAAACAGTTCTGCCTTGGGTCTGAGCCCTAGCTCACAGCTTTTTTTGTTCTAAAGAAAGGACATAGAGGAACAGAAAGATGGGGAGCTGGAAGCATGAACTCTAAATGGATTCCATGTGTTTATTTCCTAAGCTAGCCCCAGCCAAATGTTTGAACTTGAGTAGTTTTTGTATGTATATGCAGTTGATATGACCACTGGAAAGTTCCAGTAGTTTCCTGGAAGTAGTCTCAGTATGGATAATATCTTATTCTTTGAGTACTTCTGTACGTGTAGGCATTGACCCTTGAAGGTTAGCCAAGTCCTTGGTAAGACTGTTCCCACAAGCTCCTGTTTACCTCTATAGACTTCTAAAGAAAAGACTTTACCTGTTGTCACAAGACACAGCTAAGGACATTTTCCTTAGAAATCTCTCAATTTTCAATCTCACTGCCTCAACAACAAAATTTAATATATATTTCATTGAATTCTGTGAAATATTTTTAATATTTTTCAAGAAATATGTTTAAAATGCAATTTGTTCTTTACCTCTAGGTTCTAGCTTTGCACCGTCATCTACTATTTATGCAAATAATTCAGTTTCCAATTCAACGAATTTCAGTGGTTCACAACAGGTATAGTAGCTTTTTATGTTTATGCTTTTATATATATTTCAGATTTTTGAAGAATAGTATCAGGTTAGTAAGGTTTATGTATTTAAAATTGAGATGGCATTTCAGGGTAGTAAAAATGAGCTGTCTGGAATTCTTTGGATTTGTGTAATTCTGGATGTTTCAGTTTTCCTGATTGCTAAAGTTTTGCCCTTTAAACATTTAAGCCATGATTGTTTTAGTCATTTGACAGGAAATCTATTGCATATTTTCCTATTATTTTAAGCTATACTAAACATAATTTTATTTTTCTTGATAAAACAGTTATTATGAAAATTCATAGGTTGAACTATAATCAATAATCAGATTATGATGTAGACTATAAAACACTCTTGGTCCAAAACCAAATCATTTGTTCCTAAACAAAATGCCTCTCAAACTACTACTGGCTTTTATTTTTTAGTTCTATGATTTTTTTTTTTGATAACTGTTAAATTCCTACTGCCCTGACAGCTGTAATTTTTTGCTTTTGTCACCCACTACACTTGCTCCTAGAATTCCTTAGTCCTCATAGTGATGTTTGCTTAATAATTTTGTGTTTTGAAACCTGCGATTGTTTTTAGAATCGTGTTAGCATTATGTGTGGAACAAGCGTGGATGTGCCTGAATGAGTGAGTTAGCATGGAACGACATGAATTTGTGATATATTCAGAAAGTTTTGTCCCTATTTCCTGCTTCTCAGTCATGTTCAGAGTAGCTGAGGTAGAAGGGTAGCTGATTTCATGGGTAAGCAATACACTAACATAATCGCTGGACTTCTGTACATTCTAAAATATGTTACTGCATAAGTGTTTGCTCTTTGGATTTACTGAAGGAATTATATTAATTGCCTTCTTTCAATTTTTATTAAGGTAACAAGAGGCAAAGAGGGAAATTTGATGATTAAACACTGGAATAATGATATTTTTGACAGGATTAAACTGTATAGTTTGGCATTAGTTTGAAAAATGGTTTCTTAAAACAGTAAACATCAAAGTCAGTATGCATATTTTATTATAAAAAATTGAGAATTTTTGATAATCCAGGTAGCTTAATTTCACTTGCTCATTTATTAATACACCAAACATTTATTGAGCACCTGTTAGCCATTAGATTTTTCGACTGTGCATTGGAGATTCGAAGTCGGTGTTCCCTGCTCTCTGGAAGGATACAATCCTCCTGAAGACACAGACATGAAAATAATATGGACAGGGAGTGGAATATTTGGAATATAATGATAGAAATATACACTAGGCAGAGTGGTAGCATAAGGGGAAGACTGCTTTGTTCTTTGTTGGGAGGATTAAAAAAATGATTAATAAGGAGAAGAAAATTTATTGACAAACAGTTTTATATCACAAAATACATCCAGTACTAGCAGTATATTTAATTCAGTGGCCGCAATATAATATGTAATCTGTATTTTGGACCATGGTCTGAAGACTGATTCTTTTAGCAAATACTCACTGAGTGCCTATTAGATATTAGGAACTGGTCTGTATCCTGGGGAGCTGAAGGTAGGAGCAGCGTGAATGGAACCTGTTTCTTGCTTTAGGGAGCTTTCTGTCTACTGAGAAAAGCAGACAATAAATCAGTAAACACCTGAGTAAATATAGAATTGGAAAGCATGAAGGGAGAGAACAGGGTCCTATTAAAAATATTATGAGAGGGCTTCCCTGGTGGCGCAGTGGTTGAGGGTCTGCCTGCTGATGCAGGGGACACGGGTTCGTGCCCCAGTCCGGGAGGATCCCACATGCCGCGGAGCGGCTGGGCCCGTGAGCCATGGCCGCTGAGCCTGCGCGTCTGGAGCCTGTGCTCCGCAACAGGAGAGGCCCGCGTACCACAAAAAAAAAAAAAAAAAAAAATATTATGAGAAGGCTAATTTTGAGTAAGGGGGATTTTGTGGAAGGCTTCTCCATGGAAATGACATTTAGGCCAAGTCTTCCAAAAGTTAGGTGAAGACTGAGGGCAAGGGTGTTCAGGCATAGAAAGCAGCATGTATCACATCCCTGAGGGGTGAAAATCTTGGGGTGTCAGTGAACTCAAAGAAGGCTGGAGCTTAGTTTGCACCTGAGGGGCATGTGGGGAAACATCCATTTATGGAGGTAGGCTGCAGCCTGCTAATGTAGGGCCCTGTGGCTTATAATAAGGAACTTCAATTCTATTGCAAGCCCAAAGGGAAGCTATTAAAGAATTTTTTAGCAGGAGAATAACATCATGTAATTTATTTTTGAAAAATATTACTCTGGCTTCAGAGACTTTGGAAAAAGACAAAAATGGAAATGAGGAGAGCAGTTAGAAAACTGGTACATTGGCTACAGCAGGCAGTGAAGGTAGCTTGGACAAGGTGATAAGAGTGGAGATGAAGAGTAGGGGGAATCTTTGAGATATACTTGAGTGCAAAAGGACACTATAATCACTGGAAGCTGGTAGACTGGACCTTTCCAGTGAGTAACTTCATCTTCCTCTCCGGGCACTGGCAGCCCAGTGGAGAGCTTCCCACACAGATAGATGCTGGAGTCAGTCTCTCTGGCTTCCAGTTTGAGCCCTGAAACTTGCTGTCTGACTTTGGGCAAATCACTTTAAACATTCTGTGCCTTTATCCCTTTACTTCAGTGTAAAATAGAGATAGTAATAATACTGCATAGGAGGTTGTGGGATTTCAATGAGTAAATCTACTAAAGGCCTTAGAGGAGTGCCTGACACAAAGTAAGCACTGTGTTAATATTTGTGATCCATGTTTTACTCTTGAGAAAAATACGTTACTAGGAATTTTGTCCAAATACTGCCAAGAGTTTTCTGGTTTTTTGTTTGTTTGTTTGTTTTGTTTTTGACTCTCAGGTAATAGTGGGGAACATCAGATCCTGAAATTAACAGACAAATAGAATTTTCATTTTCTGCCATACTGCTTAACCCTTTCTGATGATACATATATTTGCTTATACATATATTTACGAACGCAGAGAATTTCCTCTTTTGGAAACCACATCAACCATGGATCTTTGTTTCCCTTAGAAACGTGCATTAGGGAATCTTCATCCTGACCAAGGATTTGTCATCACTGATAACAATTTGGGCTAAAACATGTCAGATATATTAAACACCAACTATTGCAACAAATACTTATTCCTTATCTTAATATGTAAAAGGATTTTGAAGGATTATTTACATCATTTTAAGATTATTTTAAAATTTTTTAATAAAAAGCAGGTGAAAGGAATTGACCCAATGGCTTTCTTTTTTCTCTAACAAATGATGCAAACTAAATATATGAAAGCCTCACGAAAGACTTTAGGTCAAGGCCTCAGGTGGCATGTAGCCTGTGAGAAACTGGGTAAGAATATCTTTTATTCATTTTCTTTTCTCTACTGTTTACCTCCTGCCAAGAAAACAAAATTATCAAGAGTAGCCTAAAAAGGGAACAAAAATCACAATAATGCAGCCCAAGGTCTGTATGGAAGCGGGGAGAGGGGCACACCTCCTCCTTGCTGGTGATATCAGAAGATGAGAATGAATGCTGTGGATACGAACACCTCCTTCTCTCCTCTTCAAGTGCATAAGACCCGAGGATGTCCATCCTTGGAAATGTAATTCTGGGGGGAAAGTGATGCATATACAACCTTTAAACAGATTAAAATTTGTGTACTGGACCTGGTTTGCAAGACCCGCAAGGTATTTCATTACTATGTGCGTGTAGGAGATGCCCACAGAATGGTCTCTGCTTATTAGGATCACCTCAAAGCTGGGGACTCCAGAACCAGTGGAGCCAGATACTAATCTTTCCATCGCCATTGTGATTGCTTTTCTTTGGAGTATACTAGAGGGTAATCTGTCTTTCAAACACACACACATGTCAATTATTATTTCAGGATTATCCATCCTACACAGCCTTTGGCCAAAACCAGTATGCACAGTATTACTCTGCATCAACATATGGAGCATATATGACATCAAATAACACAGCTGATGGCACGTCCTCCTCGACCTCAACCTACCAGTTGCAGGAGTCTCTCACAGGACTGACTAGCCAACCAGGTACAGATCTTCATCCAGGTGAAATACTTTTTATATGTTTTGCTGTATCTAATAATATGGAGAAAATGGGCATTTTAAAAACAAGGCTGAAAGCTTCCAGATAATTATGCTGATGTTCAGTCTGTGCTAGTACCACTGATTTAGGTGAGGCTTTTCTGGCATTCCAGAAACCTTTCTTTTAGGTGTGGGATAGTTAGGAGATTTTAATATCAAATGACAGAATACATATGAATATGGAGATAAAAGGTAAGTGGACCTTTTACCAGACTAATTATTTCATGGAGATCTTGACAACATAGAAAAGTTGTAATATTATCTTCTTTGGGTAAAACTGATAATATTTCCTTTATGCTTGAGAAACTGTATAACTTTTTCACCCTACGAGTCATCAGTAGCCCCAGCCAGTGAACATTTCCCACATTCCTAGGATTTTTAGAATCAGTGGTAGGTAGTTTAATATCTTTGTCTGATCAACACATATTTAAAATCCATCATAGTCTTCATTGCCAGAAGCTTGTCTGTATTCTTATTAGAATTGTATTTGCTGACACATATTTAACACAGCTGAAGAACTTAAAGTGAAAAGCAAGTTTAATAGAGATTCATTGTAACCCCAATCAAAATTCCAGCAGGATCTTTCGGAGAAATTATCAAGATGATTCTAAAATTACAAGGAAAGACAAAGGAACTAGAATAGCCAAATAATTTTGAAAAATAAGAACAAAGTTTGAGGACTCACATTGCCTGATTTCAAAATTTATAAGATATAATAATCAAGAATGTTTGGTATTGGAAAAAATATTAGATACATAGAGCAATGGAATAGAATAAAGAGTCCAGAAATATATATATTTCTGGATATATTTTGTATATGTTGTATATAATATATACAACATATACAATGATACAACATATACTAAAAGTTTGGTTTTTGACAAAGGTGCAAAGGCAATTAGAGAGAATGAATAGTTTTTCAGAAAATGGTGCCGGAACACTGACATCCATATGCAAAACAAAACAAAACAAAACATAAAACAGAATCTTGACTTGTAACTCATACCATATACAAAACATGTTAAAACTAAAACTTCTAGAAGAAAACATGGAGAAACTCTTTGTGGCCTTGGGTTACATAAAAATTTAATAGATATCACGCTAAAAACACAATCCATAAAAGAAAAGAAAAGCTAAATTAGACTTCATAAAACAAAGAACTTCTGCTCTTCAAAAGACACCATCACAAGAGTAGAAAGACACGCCACAGATTGGGAAAAAATACTTGCAAAACACATATCTGATAAAGCACTTGTATCCAGAATATATAAAGAACTATCAAAACTCAATAAGAAAATCAAAGTTAAGAAATTTTTTGTTTTTGTAAATACCATTTAGTATGTTCAAGAATATTTTTCTGACTTCCAGTTATTTGCAAGATCCAAACTCATCTCTGCTTCTTTTTTGTCCTGCTTTGGAAGGGCAAGAAAATAGGGACACATGGTCACAATACTGTAAATTCTTTCTAACTGGACCAGTGGTTCCAAGAAGACAAAAAGCCCATTAAACAATTATTCATTGAGTGCCTGTTAGGTACCAGGCGCTGCTGGTATTTCAGCAGTGAATATGCTCTCTGCATACATTTAACTTCATTTAGCTTCCATTTAACAAGCAAGCCAAGATCAAGCAAATAATTAAAATAGTATGAATGTTGAGAAAAGGAAAATGCTAGATAATGTGGGGAATATTAACGAGAAAACTAATTTGAACATGAAGAAGTGACAATGAAACATACTTTTGCGATACGCGGGCCCCTCACTGTTGTGGCCTCTCCTGTTGCGGAGCACAGGCTCCAGACGCGCAGGCTCAGCGGCCATGGCTCACGGGCCCAGCCGCTCTGCGGCACGTGGGATCCTCCCGGACCGGGGCACGAACCCACGTCCCCTACATTGGCAGGCGGACTCTCAACCACTGCGCCACCAGGGAAGCCCGACAATGAAACATACTTTAAGCGACAGAGAAAATGCAATTATATTCATGAAATGGCAACATTCTTTCTTTTTGGTTCACTGTTATATATGGGGTGAATAAACAACAAGGTCCTACTGTAGAGCACAGGGAACTATATTCAATATCCTGTGATAAACCATAATGGAAGAGAATATTTAAAAAAAAGAATCTCAAAATATTGTCTCTAATCTAACTATGGACCGAAGGGAAAATTGTTAATAGGTGTACTAGACTTTGATGCCCCTGCTACCAGTTTCTTTCCCCTTATCTTCTTTTTAGACCCTCCCTCCTGTAAACACATAGCCCCTTTGAACCTCTAGTCCTCATTCCCTCTTTTTAGTCGCTCCGCCTAACCTCCCCCTCTCTTAGCAGCCATATCTTATGTAGGGCCAGGATGAAGGGAAGGCAAGAGTTGCCTGGGGTGCAGAATGTAAGGGGGGCGTTCATTCTCACAGCCCTTAAATTTTACACCCTTGGCACACTACCTGCCTTAACTTCCGCCCAGCCTAAATCCCATGTTCCAATTCTGTCCTGATCCTCTTTGAGTAAACACTTACATTTCATTAAGAATCTTATCTTAATTTAAAGAATGAGTGATTTCAGAATCCTTGCTTACAAGTGGTGGAAGCACTTCAGGTGGGGAGATACTTGATGTTCTCGTCGCACTGCGAAAGGTGTTTCTCACTGGTGAATGCACGGGGAAAACAAAGTAGGCTGTGTTCAGGAGCAAAACCACAGACTAAGTATTTGATCATCGAGATATCAGAGACCGAGTGACAGGACTGGCAAAGTGTTTTGGAATTTACTAGAATTGAGCTACCAGGAATGAAAACCATTCAAATACCCCAAAATGGTTTATGCTGCCTAGAACTTTGGGTGGAAGGTTGGTTTTAATCTAATTTCAGTATGACCACAAGAGTTTCTATGCACGAAAGACACAGATGGGTACTCTCTATTAGCTAAAGAATAATAACTTTCAGAATAGCTATTTTATTTACATTAAAAATACTAAACGCAGACATGTAGATATTCTGAGTATGTGACTTTGAATGTAACACATTCATATGTGACATTCTCATATGCAGTATCAGAATGCTGCAATTTCTTCAGCTTTGCACTGGGTGCTAATACCAACGAATACAGTTTGACATAATTGTCAGATCTTACGAGACTTTCCATTGAATTTAAAGAAGAAATTATTTCTACTTGTACCCATATTATTCTCTCAACCAAAATCATAACAATACACGTGTCTAGATCTTTAAGGAACTCTGTGACCTCAGACCTTCAGTCAAGATAGTTTTAAGTTTGATTTTGCCTTTGCAGGTCTGGCATGCATCCAAAAAGTAAACAAGTTCATAACTATGGGATTTTTCTTTATTATTGATGAAATTTGAGGTATTTTGTTTAAGGGTATAAAGAGTATTTTCCACTGACTGGCTCTGCGTTTGGACTTAAAGCAGAGACCTAACAGTTAAACCCACAGTTTGTCATAAATCATTCACTGTTGACTTCTCCCTTGTTTAAAATGGAAACATACTTTATGTTCTATAAGAGACAGCTGGTTGCTCTGATTTAGCGATAAACCTAATGAAATAAAGTTGATTCTAAATATCCAAAACTTAGAAGGTGCAGTTATTCATTACGGTACTGATTAAAAGATAATTATTCAGTCATGTATAGTGTTAGCCCAGGAAAAAGCCTAGGGCAATGGGTAATGACTGATGTTATTTGGAAATTACAAATAGCATTCAGTCATTTATTTTACCTTATTAGGTAATTTGACAATGTATTTAAAGAAACATCACCATGCTGATTAACAACAGATATTTTAGTTCATTATCTTTGAAAAGATCTTTCTTTGCCTTTAACATAAAGGTTATCTTAGGTATATTATATTTTTGATTCGCCTTCCGAGTGTTTGATGACTGATAGCACATTAAGCTTAGTGATATTTTTATAGCTCCTTTTTAAAATTTTAAACATCTTTAAAATTAAATATAACTAGCAATTTGTAACAACATTCTGTAGTCTGAGACCTTGGCAAACATCTCAGATACATTAGCTAATTAAACTTTACAAGTGTTGCAGAAAAGTAAAGGATATGGTAAGATCACTCTTTGAAAAGAAGCCAGTTTCTTAGGCAGAACTCAGTAGACTTTCTAGGCCTCATGGCATTTCACATGAGGACAGGAAGGAAAGCAAAGTACTAATTCATTTCATTGAAGGAACAAGAGGACTTAAACGGAAAGGACTGACCACAGTTAACTTCTCTGCCAATTTGCATTTTCCCTACCTGCAGCATTACTGTACCCTAGTGCAATTACCTGAGTGAAATTGACAGAGGCACTGGAATTAACAGCTTTCTCCTTTTAAAAACAAATGTCAACAAATGTTTAATGACCAGTTGAGCTCAAGTTCCTGATTTTGCCCTTTATCAGAAGAAAGGCTAGAACCTTCACAAGATATGGAGGTCAGTTCATTTCCATCTGGGTGGTGGCTGTAGGAGCCCAAATACAGCACATGGCCTCTTAAGGACCTGCTCTTTTACTCTGATGCTCTTCAGATGAATTCCTTGGCCCTCACTCTCACAGAAATTGTGTAAAGTCTGTGTAACTCTTTTGATTAGTAGAAACAGATATACATTTGACCTTTTTGTAACCTGGACAGACTGGTGCTATTTGGGAGAGGAAGTATTACCTAGTGGTTAAAGCGGGAGTTCTGGAACCATATCAACATTTCACATACAGGCTATTTCATCTTGGTTAGTTAATTGAGTCCCCCATGTCTCCAGTTCTCCCATTATTAAAAGAGGCTAATAAAGGAACAAATTCACTGGGTAGAAGTGAAGTTTAAGTCATATATATGTGTGTGTGTGTGTGTGTAAAGAACGTTTCACAGTAAAGAGCTCTGACAAATCATTAAGAAAAAGATAACCCAATTTTTTAAAATTAGTCAAAGATTTAAACAGTTACTTCATAAAAAGTAGATACCAAGTGAGTAAGAAACAAAGTATTCTACATCATTACTCATCAAGAAAATGCTAATTAAAACTACAATAAGATACTACCAACCCCTACAATCGCTAATATAAAAAAGACTAGCAATACCAAGTATTGGTGAGGATGTAGAGCAACTAGAACTCTCATTGCTAGTAAGAGAGTGAATTAATACAACACCTTTGGAAAAGAGTGCTCAGTGTCTACTGAAGGTAAACATATGCCTTCCATTTGACCCAGCACTCCCTCTGCCAGGTGTATACATATAGGCATATGCCTAGTATATACATATAGGGATATGCTAGGAAGGGGAGCTTATGCCCACAGATATAAACAAGAATGTTTATAACAGCTTTATTCATAGTTGCCTAAAACTACAAATAACCCAAATGTTCATCAACAGAATGTATAAAGCATAGTATACATATGTCATGAAGTTCCAGCCATATCAAGGAAAAAACAAACAACTGCTCCAGGCTACAATGTGGGTGGATCTCAGACATAATGAGCAGTGACTCTAGCCAAACACATATTCCAATAAGCTTATTGAGACCCAGACACTTCCTATGACCAGTCTTTTCCCTTCCTCCTTCTACTCTTTTCACTCCCTCGTTGTGATAGCTGCTGACCTCCAGTTCATTCGAGTAGCTGAGATGTTCCTGCCAAACCCCGTCTTTATGGATCCAGTCAACAGTCAACCACCCATTAGTGAGCACAGTAACTTTGGGATTTTGCAAGATTTTGTCTATTCACCTCTTGCACTGTGGCAAGAACAAAGCTGCCTGATGAGAGTTAACTCCTGAAAATTGATCTATCATGGATAGAAAGATAGGTCTTAGGGAATGTCGACCAAAAAAATCTTATAAGCTTAATAAATGTGTGTTAATTTGAATCAATATTTTATCTGAAAAAGAACATTTGATTGGCAGGACATAGTAACCTTAGAAAAATTCTGTTTTATAAAAATAATTGAAAATAGAAAACATTTTGTGTGATATTTTTAAAAAGTAGATGTGTGTTTAAATACCCAAATCCCCATCTAACGCCTATACACGTAAGCTGAAACCTGATTTACTATGACATAGGGCTATATTCAGCATCGTAACTAAAGATCCTTTTATTATGCTTTCTACTCTCATGCATTCGATAGCAGAAACCCATGCAATGAACTGTGCTAGCAATGTTTTAAGAGCAAATAATATTTGGAACACAGACATTTTTTTTGATGCTGTCCTGACATGCACAGATGTTTCCCAAAGAAGACATTTGACCGTTAGAAATTATTAGAGGTTAGCTATGTAAACACTGTTTACCTAAAACATCTCAGAAAAAATGTTACCTAAGTGTGATCTAGTTTGTTCAGATGTGTTTATTTAGATTAATAACTGCTTGGCTGTCCTCATAATTATTTTACTTTAATTTTTATGATAAAGCATGAGAGTCATAACATCTTTACTTTTAAAAATTGTGTAACTTTAATATAGTTTGCCATTGGACTCTCCTAGACATTTTAACATTATGCATATGATTTCAATTAAACATAAATCAGATTTATCTCAGTAATACGAAAAGATAGCTGCTATTAACCAGGCTTTAGTATACAAAGAAACTGAGATTCAGAGAGACTGAGTAAAATGCTTGAAGTCATATAGTAAGTCCAACTCTTGTTACTTGTGAAGTTTTACTGCACCTCACTGTCGCCTTGGTGGATTTATCTTAACACCCTCTCCTACAGACTTGCCACTGCTCTGTACTCTCCACCTCATAAGATCCTGCATCACTAGCTTTAGACGTGTCGGACTTTTGGGTATCTGTGGGACATGCAGAACCCAATTAAACATTAAGTCTGAAACTTAAGATTTGACTTGGTATGATGTATGGGTCATCACGTAGAAAGTGACTGACCTATGAGAGGGTTAGATTGCCCACATGATGTGGAGTGGGGAAAATGTTCAAAGGAGACAAATGTGCTGTCCAGTACTGTAGCCGCTGACTTCAGTCTGTACTAGCCCCATTACAAGGGCTTAATAGGCACGTGTGGCTAGTACAGATTGAAATCAGCTCTAAGTGTCATATACACACAGGATTTTGAAGACTTAGCATGAAAACGAGATTATGTAAAACATGTCATTTTTATATTTATTATATGCTGAAATGATAATGTTTTGGATATATTAGAGCAATTAGCATATAGGAATGAAATTAATTTTACGTGTTTCTTTTTACCTTTTTTTAATGCAGCTTCTAGAACATTTAAAATTATATGTATGCGTGGTTACATTCGTGGCTCACTTCGTATTTCTGTTGGACAGCACTGGTACATGCTGTTCTTTTGAGACGGGTCCTTTAAAAAGAAAACGTAGCAAACAGATAGCTTGCAGATAGAAATGCAAGGTCAAAGGGAAGGACTTTTCAACTTGTCTGTGTGCCCCCCGCCCCCAGAAATGGGAGAGGTTGAAGGGAAGGTAAGAGAGAGTTTGAGAAGTGGAGCATGATTATTCTCTAATAGGTGAGGCACGTAAGTCATATTTGCAGGGGGAGGGATGGGATCTCATCCTCAGACATAAGGAGGTGACAACAGATCTAAATTTAGATAAATACATAGGTGGGGATAGAAATGGGAAGTTGAGGGCATCTGGGGTACAAAACGTCTTCAGGTTTAATAGATCACATAGATCGAAACTAGGAGAAAGCTGTGTGACCTGCAAAATTTTGACTGAATTCGAATTTTGTATATTTGTGATTATAAATCTTTCTTGTCATAAGGAATTTTCTGTTGTAGGATTTGTTAAAATCATTAATCATGAAGACTCATACCTGATCTAAAAATGAAGTGCTGTCCTTGACAGTATTCATGTTATTTACAGGAGAGTTTGATACTGTGCAGAGCCCCTCCACACCCATCAAAGATCTTGATGAGAGAACGTGCAGGAGTTCTGGGTCAAAGTCCCGAGGAAGAGGCCGGAAAAGTAATCCTTCCCCGCCTCCGGACAGTGACCTGGAGGTATGCTGACTTCTCCTTAAAAGGTGTAATGTGATGTTTCATTTTACTGAATGATATATTCTATACCGTACAGTTCTGTAAAGTTTCAGACTTAAAACAAAAAGATATATCATGAAATGAGTGGACCTACTATGAAGTAGGCATTTCACAGCTCTGAAATTGGAGATTTCGTCCATTATAATGGCAAAACTAAAAACAATAACAACTTAAAAATCATAATGCTCTATAAATTCTAGGCCTGAGATAGTTGCATCTTTTGATCCAAAAGACACAAACAGAAGGCACAAGCAGAAATTTGAAAAATAAAGCCATTGTTTGTGGAGTATTTATCTGAGAAGCACTCTTTCTGGGAGTACTAGCGTCATGAAAGATGTTTACATGAGTCAATAAATATTAAAAGGTAAAATTAATCTGTATGGAGAAAAAAAGGTGTCATCAGAAAATAAGAAAAATTCCAGTCATTTGATACATATGTTAAAATTTTTATACCTGTAAAAATTTCTGTGTGTCATTGTTTCCAGTTGGGACAGATCTTTTGAGATATCTCCATACTAAGCAGGTTGTTTTTATTATGAAACATCAGAAGAAACTATTCTTAACTGTAATGTGTTACTTCTTACACAGCTGCATATTTTAACTGTGAAAAAAAGTTAAATCTCCAGATTTAGTAAAGTCAAGTAATAGCCCTTGTTATCTCTTCATAAGAGATCATTTCCTTGATGCGAACAACAGTAGTAGATTCAAATGCCTTCAAGAACCCAGCAGGTGATATGAATGAGTGAACTGGGCTAGGGGGCCAACAGACTGGGAAGAGTGGGGAGCACTGGCCCAGTCTAAAGGGGCCCCTGCATCATTGCCACATGGACTGTCAGCCACCATTGCCACAAACTGGAAGTTTGTCTACTGCAGTCAAAACCCTGAACTTTGTGTGAAATCTTCTAATTTCAATAATTTGAAACCGTTCAAAACACTGTGCAGGCCAAACAACCCATCTTATGACTTAATCTGACCCAAGGGTCCACACGTTACAATTTCTATTTAGGGATTGTTCATTGATTCTTTAAAATATTTTTTAAAATATAATTCTTTGCATGGATTACAAAACTTCATGAATTCATGAGACATAAAATTTTATAAGAGCACACTTCTATGATAAAGTCCAAACGTGTCTTTTGGGTATTAACTGCAAGTACATATTTGAATGAATTCATTCAGATTAGGACATCACATTTTTAAGCCTTATTATTTTTGTCACTCTTGTTCCTCAGGTTTTACAGGGGTTAGATTTGACAAATTTGGAGGAAAAATTAATGGAGTAGCATAGATTTCCATATAATAGTATTAAGATTATATCCAAAAATAAAGTGAGAGGTCTTCTACTTGTAAAGAGATTTCTGTTTCCTTAGAACTTGATAATTCTTCGATATTTATCTTTTTTCTCCAGCGTGTGTTTGTGTGGGACTTGGATGAAACCATCATTGTTTTCCACTCACTGCTCACGGGATCTTATGCCCAGAAGTATGGCAAGGTAAGAAATCAAGAAATTTTACCCCAAGACACCTTGTTAGAATTTTATTTTAAATAAAATGAAAAGCCATTTAAAAATACCTTGTAGTGTTTTTATTGCAGTCTGTCAAGTCTGCTCTTAATTATTTATTTCCAGTGGCTCATTGTTCTTTAATGTGAACTGGCAAATTTTACAGAACTTAATTAGAAATCATATTCTTTTTCCTTTCTTCATAATAACTTTGAATTTTCTACATGAAAAACCAAGCTTATTACCCTCACATAATTATTTTAGAAAATGTTTTTGTAAATTGAAATGGACTTTAAACATTATAATACATATATTGTTGTCTAATAAGGGAACCTTAAGAAATTGTTTGGATTAATTTGTTGCACCAAATGTTGCTATAGAATGCCATTTGAAATAAGGAAGTAATCTTTTGTCTGACAGATCCTTTCCATTTATAAGTATAAGTATTTTTTGGTAACTTTGAGGAAGCATATTATAGAGACTGGGACTAATACCCCGTCACACATACAAATCCAGAGGCAGATGTTCTCATTACTTTCCTTTGTCTCTTGCCATTATTTTCATAGTCAGTTTGTTTCTTGTAACAGTGTTGTTATACACGTGTGTGAGTCTGTTTCAAAGAGTGATGCACCTGCAACAGGTTTTTCAGCTAGAAACACAGTTGTAGAGGCCATTTGAGTCTTTGATTCTGTAGGACTCACAGTCTAACCAGAGTCAATTCACAACATGTTGGCCTGCCTTCAATTACTGTATTCAAAGTTGTATCTAACTTTGGTTCCTTTTCATGTGACACTTACAGAACTGTCTCCCTTCATCTTTATAGTGTCACATTATTTCATAGGGTCTCATGTTAGCTCAACATGCAGTTTTTAACATCTTCTAGACTAGTTGTGATGAATTAATTGCACTCAAGCATTTCCTCCTAAATTGCGCTCTTGGTGAATTTGCATTGCATTTGATTCTTAGTATAAGTAATGAAAGTTGCTAAACATATGAAAGGTAACAATTTTATTTAGTGACCATTCAGAAAAAGGAGTCTTAGCTCCTTTATCACAATCATCGTCATCTAAAACAGTGATCTCCAAAGCAGGATGTATGCATATGTGCCAGATATACACAAGGTGCTTCACTGAGATAAGGAGAGAAAATAACACATTTATACCCTGCAATTTCTATTCTTATCTGTTTCAATACATGTAAATGATTATAACTTAAAGAATATGTATGTAATTTATAAATAAATTAACTATACATAAATTGGTGGCACACACTCAAAATTCTATTACTGATAGAGCGTACAGTCTAAAAAGTTTCCAGATGATAATCTAAAGCATTTTCTTCTGAAATAATTTTGGCTTATGTGGAATACACAGTAATCCTATTGAACTGATTACAGGATTTTTGTGCAACTTTTCATATTAGATAAATGTTTAAAATAAACAGCCTAACTTGAACACACAAATCCAAATAAAAGTTCCCTTCAAAATAGTCACCATTGGAGGCTATACCTAAGTATCCATGTTGCTTCCATTATGCCAGATCAGTGGTGGGACTCATCTTTCGGAATTACCTTTAGATTTTTAAAATATTTCCTGACTTCAAATCTTCATCCTTTTGTGGTAATTGTGATATTTAGAAGTAAAAGGATGATTTGAACCCGAGACGATAAATAAAGAGCATGGTCAAAATGTCACTATATATATATATATATATATATATATATATATATATATATATATATATACACAC